TAAGAAGTACAAACTTCCAGTTATAGAATAAATAAGTCACGAGAACCATGTGGCTCTCTTGGGCCATTATGTCTTAGTTAAAATCAAGTTTCCTCTGATTTTCTGTTATGAAATTCTCAAGAGGGGAAAGATCTGTACTGGTTGAAATCACTTCACAGAAAAGAGTAGCCTTTCACAGAGAGGGAGGAACGATCAGGGAACTGCAGTTATAAATCCTATCCTCTTTCCTATATTATTATTATGGAATAACCCATCTCCCTTCCTAGTCTGTATACTCTGAGACAACAGAAAAGACCTCTATCTTAATGTCCTTTGTGATTTTATGGACAAGTGTAGTTCTTGGACTCAATATCTTTTGAGTTCATAAATGAACCAATCAATGAATAGTGTATACATGAAAGGACAGAGACAGTTACCCTACATTTGAAAATAGGATTTCATATTGATGACTTGGAGGAGAGAGTTTTAACTGCACATAAAAGCAGCTAACATTTATGGATCTCCTTCTTTGGCCAGGTACTGTGTCAGGCACTTGATGTATTATCCTCACAATGAGGATTATCACTGTTATCCCTTTTTTTTGCAGGTGAAAAAAAGCACCGAAAAAATAAGAAATTTGTCCAAGGTAGTAAGTGACAGAGATGAGATGAGATGCAAGCCTGTGGAATCTGATTTAAAGCGCAATGCTCTGGGGCACCTGGGTGGCTCAGTAGGTTAAGCATCTGAGTTCGGCTCAGATCATGATCTCGTGGTCCATGGGTTTGAGTCCTGTGTCAGGCTTTGTGCTGACAGCTCAAAGTCTGGAGTCTGCTTTGAATTCTGTGTCTCACTCTTCTCTCTGCCCCTCCCCACTCATGCTCGCTCGGTCTCTCTCTCAAACAATAAATAAATAAATAAATAAATAAATAAATAAATAAATAAAATGCTATGTTCTGACCCACATTGTTATATTCTTTCATTCTCTACAAATATGTATCTAATATGCAGCATGAAGCCCCAGACACTTGGAAGCTAGTGTATATTCCTAATCTGGGATGATGTGGACTGTGGGTCTTCCATATTGCCATGGTAGAACTTCAGCAATGGCCAAATTTCTCCTCTACAAACTGGGATGGTGTGGAGAGGGGCAGACCCCATAGTATTCTCATGAAAATTAAGTAATGTTCATTAACTGTCAATTCCTAGTAAGATATCAGTAAATGTAAGCTATTTATTTTAGAGAAGAACAGTCTGCTTCTCAAACTGAAAAAGCTTCACTTTAGTTGTCTATGCATTAATTCATGTAGAAGTTCTTGACTACTTAATTACAGTTGATATTTGGGGGAGGAGAATTTAAAAACTAAATTGGGACCTGACCTTCCCTTCACATTCAGGCCTCAAGCCACACTTGACCTATGGAGGAGTGAAAATGTCAGTATTTATAGTAGATACCATAGATAAAATCACTTCAGAAAATCTGACAGATCTGACATGTAAGTTAAACTCTTATCAAGCAAGTTGAGAAAATGTTATTTAGGCTACTTGGAAGTTCATCACAGCCATTTAAAAGAAAAACCTTAAGGAAACTGTTTCATGATATTTTCAAGTTTCTGCTGGGAGCCTCAGGAAAGAGAACAATGAGTGGCAGACAAGTGTAGTTTTAACTCATTCACCAACCAACAAGATAGCTGGGGGTGGTTTTTAAGCGCAGTTTTGCTAAGCAAAGAATTAGACCTCTCTTACCTGGGATGGATGAAAAATATCCACAAGTTTTATCAATTCCTCCAGTCCTGGCATCAAGTAAGCTCTCAGGCATGTTACCTCACGTTACTTAGGTGAAAAATAGGTACTTAAGTACCTCAGGTTACTTAGGTGAAAAATACCAACTGGTATTTTTACCATTTCATCCATCGTCATGAAATCATGATTAAGGTTTACCAGCTACCGCCTGCATACCAAACTACATTCAAGTGTTACAAGCTCCAAGATAACTGCTCCCCCCATGCCCTTGTGGTCTGAGCTCAGAAAGCAGCCAGAATCTGAGCCACACAGGTATATTTATCTCACTTACTAAACAACTTGCCTATCACTATTCTGCAGCAAGAAACTTATGATCCACAGGGGTTTAGAGTCATCTGGTTTAACTCTAGGTTATAAACACTGGAAAAGGTAACATGATCACACATTTGAATCACCTGCAAAATTGCTTTTTAATCCTGACACCCAGGCCATGATTTCAAAAATGAAATCGACATGTCCTGTGATTGGACTGAGGCAGCTGTACTTTTAATGGCACTCTGGTGATTTAAATGCACAGTTAAATTTAAGAAGTTCTACATCAGGAGAAGACAGCAAAGTTAATACAGAGAAACTGTGTCAGTTCAGCTGGCCCACCTTTCCCCACTACAGCCTTCAACAAGGCCTCACAGAGCAAATATAAGTCCCATTATCCAAGGTGCAGATAGATGTACTATCTGCTGGTCCTGTGACTTTGTTAATGTCATTTAACATTGCAGCCCTCTGCTTACCCCTAAAATATGTGATAATAATTTTTATTGTCATTTCAACTTCTATATGTACTTGTATAGAGCAGAAAGGGCACAGGTGCTATATTAAACATGCAGGACTTGTAGTCAAAGATTAACAAATAGGAACACCTACCTGTTATTTGTTCAGGGGCCTCTCCCTCATTCCTTAGCTCACTCACCTAGATCCCTTCTCCTACCATGGTGCTTTGCCAATGAGCATTCACTTAATGGGTGGTCGAAATGAATTACCAAATGGTCTTAAGAGGGGTTTTGACCAGCGGAAGTCTGAATTTCAAGAGACGAGATTGATTTAAAAGCTTTTCCTTAAACTATCTTTGATAGGGGTAGATTGAAATGCATTAATGCATTTGTTCCATCCATTCTTAAGAGCATACATTACTTGAATAATCACTGAGGTACCAGTTATGCACCAGGCACTATACTGGGAATGAAGAAAAACATTTATATTCTGTTGTGAGAGATAGACATGTTAGCATGTAATGCAATGCATTCTAATCACAGTCACAAGTAATGGTCCTAAAGTAATACTCTCAACATATTTTGGATTTGTTTCAACTTAAAGTATCAGACAAGATCTCATGACTTTTGAATAGGACTTGTAATAAAGTACTCCATATAACAGAAAAATCAAAATAAAACTATTTTGAAAATTGGGAAAATAAATTAGGTTTAGAAGAGGATAAACATGCAAATGATGTCTTCTTCCCATAACATCTTTTGCCCTCAGTTTTAATAACCTGGTACAGGTCATTTTGTCTGAAAATGACTATGTAGTTGACCCTTGAACTACATGGGTCCACTCTATTCAGATTTTTTTTTTTCAATAAATACAGCACAGTACTGTATTTTCTCTTCCTTACGATTTTCTTAGCATTTGCTTTTCTCTACCTTACTTTACTGTAAGATCATACAGTACATAGATCGTGTAGCATACAGTGTGTGTGTTAGTGGTAAGGCTTCCAGTCAACAATAGGCTATTAGTACGTAAGTTTTGGGAGAGTTAGAAATTATCCATTGATTTTTGCACAGGTGGAGTCAAAACCCTTAATCCTCACATTATTCAAGGGTCACCTGTAGTTGCTAACATTTCTAAGGCCTTACTATATTTCATATGTGTTACATAGAATACTTTATGTAACCTAATAAAACCCTACAAGTTAGGTACAGAAAATGATATATGTTCTCCATTTGAAGAAACTGTGATTTATACAAATTAAAGAGCATTTTCAAGGTTATATTATACATGTGGGTTGAAATCCAGGTTTATTGGATTTTAAAACCCAAGCTCCTGACTATTGCAATTGTATTGACTCTCTAGCCAAAGACTGAGCAAGAGATGTGGTTCTAGTTTTCACAGAGCTGATGAAAGAGGATTGTGATTTTATAATTCACCTTTCGACAGCTCTATTCTTAGTTATCTAAGGGATTTTATGTAGTATGAAAATATCATTCATGGACCTAGACTGTAATGTCCCTGTGAGTCTGTGGCTTTGTAATAATCTATGTGAACCTTCTTCCTCACATGAGGAAAGATGTATGAAAATCCAAGGTAATACCACATATACAATACATCAAGCAACCTCAAATAATCTTAAAAGAATGTGTGGGTGTGGGTGTGTGTGGGTGTGTGTGGGTGTGTGTGTGGTGGGTGAATGCTGGTGTTCCAAAAATGTTACAGGTATTTTTTCAAAAATAGTGTTTTAAATTTGTTCTTCTACACAGAGCCAATGGCTGTGTATATGTCTTCAAATGTCATTATAATTGTGGATGTTGGAATTAATAGACATCAGTTATGCACTGGTAAATGTGTGACAATTTACTGGGGAAAAAAAAGGGAGTCCTGATTTTTAGTGTTTGCCTATTTCCATGATGTTAATACTCTCACCTTGGCTGACTTCAGTCTACCAATGTGACATCTCTCAATACAACATTTGGAAAGAATAAACACAATGAGCTCTTATGAGTTTGTGTGAGCAGCTCCAAAATATAACTGCCCAGAGACCAAAACAAAAATCTGTTGAAATTAGAAGTTTGATTTTTTCCTAGTTAATTGAAATTTATTAAGAAAATTTACCAAAGAAAGCAAATAAAGGTAATTAAGGAGAACTAGAACTAGAAAACTTTTAAACACCTTTTTTAATGCTAGTTTTCTTCAAAATGAAATAGGGGCACCTAGGTATCTCAGTTGGGTGTCTGATACTTGATTTCACTCGGATCATGATATCAGGGTCATGAGATTGGGCCCTGTGTCAGGCTCTGCGCTGAGTGAGGAGTCTGCTTAAGATTCCTTCTCTCCATCTCCTGCTCGCTGTCTCTCTCTCTCTGCCTCTCTCTCAACATGACATAACACAGCATAACATAACAGCATTTCTATGTAATTGCTGACTGAGGTAAAAGCAAATCAACTTAGGGGAATGAAGATTATTGATATTGGGTACTTGAAACACTAAAACACAAAGGAATGTGTCTCACCTAAAGAAGTCCTGGCTGGAACAGCGTCCTTATTGATCCAGAAAGATACCCAGGATAGGACAACGATGAGTGTGCAGGGGATGTAGGTCTGGATGGTGAAGTATCCCATTCTTCTGCTCAGGTCAAAGTAGACAGACATGACCACATAATCTCCTGGAACAGAACAAAGATAGCACCATGCAAACCCTTATCAAAACTGAAAAGCATTTAGAATAGGAATCCCAGCAATAAACCCATGCTGATGTGGTCAATTAGTCAATGACAAAGGAGGCAAAAATGTACAATGAGTCTCCAATGAATAGTTTTGGAAAAATTGGAGCTACATGCAAAAGAATGACACTGGATGAATACCTTACACTATATGCAAAAATAAATTCAAAATGGGTTAACTTGAATGTAAGACCTGAAACCACAAAAATCCTAGAAGAAAACATAAGCAGTAAGCTCTTCAACATCAGTCTTAAACATATTTTTGGACCAGTCTCAGGCAAGCACAACAAAAGCTAAAATAAACAAACAAGCTTACTTCAAACTGAAAAGCTTTTCAGTGGTGAAAGAAAGCATCAGCAAAATGAAAAGACAACCTACTGAATGGAAGAAGATATTTGCAAGTGATATATTTGATAAGAGGTTAATATCCAAAATATATAAAGCACTTACATAACTTAATATAAAAAATCCAATGAAAAAAATGGGTGGTACTTGAAAAGACATTTTTTCCAAAGAAGACCTACAAATGCCAAGAGGCACAAGAAAAGATGTTCAACATCACTAATCATCAGGGAAATGCAAATCAAAACCTCAGTGATATATTACTTCATACCTGTCAGATTTGCTATTATCAAAAGGACAAAAAAAAAATAGCAAGTTATTGGAAAGGATGTGGAGAAAAGTCAACCACCCTTGTGTGCTGTTGCTGAGAAAATAATTTGGTGCAGCCAATATGGGAAGCAGTATGGAGGTTCCTCAAAAAATTAATAATAGAAATACCATACAATCTAACAATTCTACTTTTGGCTGTTTACCAAAAAGAAAACAAAAACACCAATTTAAGGAGAAATATTCATTTCTATATTCATTGCCGCATTATTTACAATAGCTAAGATATAGAAGCAACCTAAGTGTCCATCCATAGACAAACTGATGAAGATGTAATATATGTACAATGGAATATTACTACACCATAAAAAATTAAATATTGCCATTTGTAGTAGCATGGATGAACCTAGAGGGTATGATGCTAAGTTAAATAGAAAAAGACAAATTTCACTTATATGTGCAAACTAAAAAACAGAACAGAAACAGATTCATAGGTATAGGAAACAAACTGATTACCAGAGTGGGGAGGGGTTGGGGGTAGGTGAAATAGGTAAAGGTGATTAAGAGTTACAAACTTCTAGTTATAAAACATAAGCCGTAAGGATATAGCCAATAATATTGTAATAATTTTATATGGTAACAGATATTAACTAGATGTATCATGGAGATCGTTTTGTAATGTATAAAAATACCGAATCACCATGAGGTATACCTAAAGCCAGTAGGTTATTTTATGTCGATTATACTTCAGTAAATAACTGCAAAGCATTTGAAAATAAGTATATATTGAATTCTCATGTTCACACATTTGAGAGTTCTGTACAAGGGGTATGTTGAAAACTATCTTTTGCCCATTTGGGTTAAAAAAAACAGATTAAACTGACTTCTGATCCTTTCATAAGTAATATGACCACTAGATGAAAGGAAACCTTTCGAGCATATTGATAATATTTTTTTCTTTGAGGTGGTTTTTGATGGTGCCTTGGCTGCCTACTTAAATATATACAATATAAAACTTTTTGCTTCGTGGGTAGGGAAGGAAACAGTGCCTATAATGAACCCTAAGATTTGTAACAATTTCCTCTTATTCTCAGGACCTTTCTCTATGCAAGCCACAGAACAATATTCTGGTGACTGACACCAGTAAGTACCTATTTTACCCAGTTTATAACCAAATTTCTATGCTGAGACATTTTTCTCATGTTTCATTGAATCTTATGGCTTTCCTTCATAACACTGCAATTCTTAGTTTCTCATTCATATGTGTGGCTATTTTTATAAATATCTGTCCTATTAGAATTTATTGCACAAGTTCACAGTGTCTCTTTTAGCATACTGTTGCACTATCAGTACTTAGCATCCTAATTGACTCCAACTAGGTATTCAGTAACATTTGTTGAATGAATGATCAAAACAAAGAATCATGTCTTGCATTTTGTATGATTCCAAGTGAAATTTTAGGGAATTACATTTTTTAACTAGATAATATGCTATGGAGACACATTTCAGTTACTATACAATTATATTTTCTTTATACTCTTAGAGAATATTAGTTTCAAAGACTATGTCTGCTCTTGCAATGGGAGATGAACCTGAGACCACTTCTCAAATCTTGTTTCTTTTCTTTACTAAATTATAATTTGTTATAGAATACATAAAGAACAAAATACAAATCCTGTGTTTTGGTTTAATTATTTGGCTTTGTGCCTATGTTTCTCTACTTATTTAGGAGATTTAGATTTGATTTGAAAATCAAGTACTTTAGAAGCCTCAGGCAGAGATGACTGACTTAGCAGAATGAGTTATGACTCCTCAGTCCAGGTCTTCCTTCCCACTTGCAAGTGTCATTCCACACCCTTCCAAGCTGATGAGACAGGAAACCCTCTTGGTTACTCCTCCAAGAAGTAATGATTTTCCTCTAATCCTGCAGTTTCCTCAGTGGGGTTATGAAACCTCCTAACACTGCCTTTTGGTGGATTAATGTACTGTCATTTGTCCAAGTCAGGCTTGGTTAAGTCAGTGACAGTGACCCAGACACTAACTGGGAAATTCAACTTCCATTTGACCACAAGTTCCCTCTCAGAGATCAATGAGTAGCCATTATTTAGCAACTATTCCTGAAGACATAAAGGTAGGAATTTCTCACTGATATTAAGTAGGTCTTGATTAGTTTATGCTTCTCTCTGTTGATTTATCTGAACTTAAGCTCTGTAAAGTCATGGCATTTCATAAATTAGTTTGGTCTCTACTTTTCTTCTAATTTAGAATATAACAGACACAGGCTATGATCGTGGAGTAAAAACATTTCATTTGAGATTATCCCTAGGAATGTCTGTCTTTTTCTTTCCTGTTTCTTTGATCAGAATACCAAAGGCAAATTCAAGTTCTCATATGCTAGATAGGAAAAACAAGGCAAGGTTTTCTTTTTAAATAATTAATATTCAGTGGCACTTTTTCTCCCTATTTTCAGAGTCCTTGAGAGTTTTCTGCACATTTTAAACACGTGTTTAAGTGAGACTTTACAAATTAAAATATTTTAAATAAATCTACACAATATTAGTAATTTCGTTTTACTTTGTATCATGTAAGTGAATGAGAATCTATACTTTGGCATTAATGATCTGATTCTTTTAAAGGTGAACTTTAATTTTGTCTGAAGTTAAAAAGATAATTATCTAATTCAATTCTCCACTTCCTTTCAGGTCAGAATCTAAACTTCCATAGCTTATTTATCTATCAATTTCTATTTTAAGGTAATAGCTTCTGAGCATCTTTCATTTTTGCCAGCAAATCCAAAGCTTTTCTACCACTAGATTACGAATTCAAACTTGGGAACAGGCCATTTAAAAGCAAAGCAGCTTCACAGTGACAGCCTGATGCCTGTCTTATCTCTAAGGCCACATCCCTTTTTGTATTTTTAAAAACTCTGGGCCAAGAAGCCTATAAAATCAAATCCTCTGAAAGTGCCACATCAGTGATTCCTAAGCCCAAAAGGTTTAAATGCCAACCAAGTCAAAAGTGGTTATTTCACCCACTTCAAATATATTTCATCTATTGATTTATTCTAACATATGATATTTAAAGTCATAGCATTTTATAAATTAGTTTAGTCCCTCTTTGTGTCCTAATTTAGCATATAATAGACACAAGCTATAACTGAAAAGAGAGGAAAGAATTTGAATGACACCCACTAAGGTCCATTCTTTCTTTATTGTTTTATAAGCTTATGTCTGGTTTTATGAAGAGACCATCAATGTCAATTAATAATGAATTTCATTTTTTTAAGCTATGTTATTAATCATTTAAACCTTTAAAATTCAGCATTTATTAGGGTGTTTAGGATTTTATTTCATATATAAACCTATTTCCTAAAAACTTAAAGATTCCACAGTAGAAAAGTCTTCCACCCCAGTGAACATCTAAAATAATGAAAACAAGTATTTTCTGGTTACCTACCATATAGTAACAAGGACCTACTGTGTACAGAGACTGGGGCTGAATTATTTGCATATATTATCTCAACATCATCAATACTTTGTCAGGACAGTGAGTAAAACAAATACTTCACTTTGTTCCTCACTCATGACTCTTATTCCACTTAAATATCATTGAATAAAGTATATATTATTCTACTAGATTGACTTGAAGGCATTATTGGTACTATGCTTTTCTTTACATTTTTTTATAGTCTCTTCTTTATTTAAATCAACAAACATTTTTGAATCACTGCTATGCATAGAGCATTCTATTAGGGAATATGGAGATTAAGACCAATGGAATCTCACAACTTATTCTAAATTAAATAGATTAAATGGGGAAAAGATAATTTTCTTTTGACTATAATTAAGATAGAGACATGTATTGATACAATGCATTAGATCTAATTTTATCACCCCTTATTAAATGCTTGAATCTGTGGTATCCTTCTCTGAGGTTGCTTTTGATCATAGGAAAGCAGGAGAGTTGCTTGGCCACATTTTCCTTTGGGGAGTTTGTTTTTAAATTAGATCTGTAAATCACCTCACAAAAATAAATTTAAAATGGACTGAAGATCCAAGTGTGATCCTACACAAGGAAAACTACAAGAGATATAAATCCTACACAAGGCAAAACTACAAGAGAATATCTTTATAATCTTACTGTAAAAAGGCATAAAACATAAAAAGCATAATGGAAAAAAATATTACGTCTTTAGCATGTAAAAGAACTCATGGGGCACCTGGGTGGCTCAGTTGGTTAAGCATCTGACTTTGACTCAGGTCCTGATCTCACAGCTGGTGGGTTCAAGCTCTGCATGGGGCTCTGTGCTGACAGCCCAGAGCTTGAAGCCTGCT